CTTTGCCCCCGCGGAGTCGGCGCCTATGACTAGATTAAATATATATTATATAAATACTACATTAACATTATACATTTTCGTAATTAGGTATCTACCATGATAGCAGAAATGTGTACTCACAACGTGGATGTACTCAAATTGCCTATTCAGAACGCCGAGCACTCCTCATTTTATTGAAAAAAAAAAAATTAATTAATATTCCAAATATTTATTGAAGTTATTAAGTAGCAACAGGGCTGGGCCGATCAATAGCGGCGCTCCTGGCAAAATAAAAATTTGCGCCCCTCTCCCTAGATTTTCAAATTTAACTATATCAAATTTTGCGCCCCTGGCAGGCGCCCACCTTGCCAGGCACTCGGCCAGGCCTTGAGTAGTAATCAAAGTAAAATTGGTATTAGCGTCTTGCCTCAAGCGAAGAAAATTGAGGAACCACTACGTTACTATGATTTTACAATGATGAGGTATATTTTTATTTTATTTGTCTACAGTCCACAGATATACTACACGATGAATAGTCGAAATAAAGATTCGATTTTAAACTTCAGTAACTTTCCTGGCAGGAATATTAATCTTTTTTATGCATTATTTGTGTGGTCAAAATTGAAAATTCCTTAAAATACAAAAAAAATTAATTAAGGAAAAACAAGAATATTTAAGCTAAATCAGTTTTCGAAAGTATCGATTTTGTTTTCTGGTGTTACTTTWAAAAAATGTACCATGTAGTTATATTAAATTTTCCCAGTATGTTTCTATTAGTTATATTCAGCGTTTTCTAAGTATCACATAATTTTAAAATTACTTTGACTCTTTATGAGTCATTTACAGGCCCAAGAAATTTTCGATTTTTATTAGTTTTTATCTAATTATTATTATCGATAAAAAWTTTTCGCTCGGTCAAAACACTTGAAAATTTAATACAAGGTTTCTCATAAACTGTTATTAAAGTAATTTTTAAATATTTAAAAAGTTAATTAGTTAATTTTTTCTTAAAGATATTGTTAACGACGAAAATCAAGGCAAATCAAAGATTCTTATTAATAATAAAATTAAAGTGTCAATAATTATATTAAATAAATTATAATAAAAATTTAATTTTCAGTCCATTTTTGCATATTTTTCAATTTTAGAATTTTAAAATTATTTTATTACGCATATATTGTCATATTTCTATGCATATTTAGTTTTTTTTAGTGGATTAAATTCACAGCCCTGTTCATGAGTTTTAATTAATTCATAGCTAACTAAAATTATATACAAAAGTCTTTTTCATAATAGATATTTTAATTTGAACGAAATTAAATGTTTAAACAAGGAATAATGGTTGTCGGTTTTAGTAATTTTTGTTTCTAATTTAAAAATATTACTCGATCGTTGCCGTTGGTAGGTAATTGAAACTTTTAAAGTTTATTATTATATTTTATACACGCACTAGACGTTTTAAAAATAATTGCAAAAAAATTAATTATTCCTACTATGTACTCGTATTACTATAATATCTGATGATAAAATAAATTATTTTATTATTAAATAATAGAATCATCAAATATATTTAGTAATATAGGATGACACGTCGCGTCTTCGCTCAGAATCAGTTTTCGTATACAATAATTGTATATTATTGAAYATAAATTTAAGTAATTTAACTAATAAATTATTGCAATGATCCCTCTTAAYAGTCTTAACACACCTACTGAGTAGCAAAGCGGAGTACTCACTTGACCAACTTTTTTAAATTATAAATGAATAGGTACTAAAAGTGTTAGAATACCATAAGATTTATAATAAATTCAATATCGTTATTTATATAGTCTTATAGTTGAAAATCTCAGAGCTCCCCCGATTTTTACAAATTAGCACCCTCAAATAATGTTCGTGTTTATGTACCAATCAAAAAATTCTTCTCACAAAAAAAAAAAAAACTAAAATGAGAAAATGTATAGCTTAAGCGCTCTTATTTTTTTTTTTAATTGAAATTGCGCCTATGCAAATGACTAGTTTGGTATACGGTGTCTATTAGATAATTCAGACCTGTATTCATAGTTTAATAAATAATAATATAGGTAATTATATAATTACCTTCTACGTCACTCCAACTGGGTTGTGTCCATTGCCCATGGGCAAATCGTTGACTTTAAATAGTGCTGTATAGCCAAAAAAAATATAAACATATATAACTGTTTCATATTTATCTTTATAGGACATTAAAGGTTGGTAGTTACGTACTTTGAGAAATTTAAAAATAATAAATCACGGTGTGTGACGTACTGATGTGTTTATTTTTCAAAAAAATAATTATCAAATGAAAATCTAAATCCGTCGATCTTCCTGGAGAACTTCGTTATCAACGTCATACACTGATCGTTATCACAACTCACAAGATGAAAGTAAAAAACATTCATCAATCGCCGTTTCACTCGGAAATGACGGAAATTAGAATCTGAAGCGAAAAATTGGTTCCTATTCTAATTGTAATCCCTCTTTTTAACTCTTTTCCTGTACAAAATAAAAAAATACAAATAATTTTTAATAATTCAAAACGTAATGATATTTTTGTAGCATAGAAAGTAGAAATGTTATCCCTGGACGCTGCGATCGACAAACCGTTTCGATCTACTGCACAGATCTTCAATTTTCCCAGAGGCAGGTCATAAACAAGTGAGCATACAAAAAACATGGTTCACCATTGTGTTTTCCAAGTACAAATTTTTTAGTAGACTTGTTTGGCGGTAAGTATTCTAGTATGGTGTTCATGCACAACATTTGRCTTACACTTTATTTTTAGGCCCAACAAATGAAATGCGTTTCAACAAACAGGAAATGATCACATTGGCACAACAACCATCTAATAAATTTGACAAAGAAGGTCTATTATTTGTTCGTGAACGCCAAGAAGGGTTTTTCAGAAGAACTGAAAGTTAGTATTTATAATTTGACTCATTGGTAACTTTGAAATGTGCAATTAAAAAAAATAAAACAAAGTTCAAACTTACCATTCATATACCCCTAAAGAGTTATAACACTATTATAATATAACATTTGCATAGTTTACATCAGCTTAGCATGTTTATGTATGAATTGTGTGTTTTGAGTACATAATTGTTTGGAAAATTGCATGATATATTTTAGTATAGTACTTTTAAATTAATATCATTGTTATTGTATTGGTTTAATAATACTCATAATTCTAAAATTTGAACCATATAACACGTGTGTTAAAACATAATGGCCAGTTTTGAAATAGCTGAAAAATATATAACACAAATKAAATTAACATAATTATTTTAACCATGTAAAAACTAAAAACCTTCTAAATATATGTTTGAGAGAAAAATTGATAATATACATCAAAAAACTTATGAATAAGTTATTAGGTATGTTTATTGTTTTTTTTTTTATGATTTATGACGATTATAAATACATTCTAGATAAAATTTAGCCCGATAATATGTAATGTTATTATAAACAAGTTCAATCTACGTCAATGAATAATAATTCATTCATAGATAAAGCTTATAGTAATAATATTTGTTAAATGATAACAATTTATTTAATTATTTGTTTTATCACATTTATTACATTTTTCTAGAACATCACAGAAGTGTCACTAATGAGTAATTACTTCATTCGAAAATTTCATGCAGTWAGCTACTTTACTTATTTATGTTTGTGGGATTAAGCATTCTTTATGAATAACTAATGCACATCTTTAAACTAATTTTACTTGTAAAAAGTTGTTATTATTTTGTAATATCAACATTATATTTGTWTGTAGCATTATAAATTTATTCAACTTACTGTTTTGTTCTTTTTTATAATTATAGTTTTCTWWTTTATTTAAAGAATCTAAGGTTTGAATTTTTATAAATAATTATGAGGTGGGTAATTCGTATACAGTTTAAAACAACAGTTCGGATGTGTAATGTGTAATAATTAATTTAAAATGTATTATTATTATGAATATAACTAATTTGATTATTTTTTAACTCTTATATCTAATTATAGCCCTGCAGATTTAAAATAAAAATAAATAAATATAAAATTTAACTTGTGTGAAAATATAAATTAGAACTCTAATGATTTAAGTCATCATGGTAAAGAATAAATACAATGTTATGACTATATTTTCATATCTTATGAAAAAGAAAATAATTATGTTTATTTTTGAAATTATGTTCTTTGTGTGGATTTCTGAGATTGTGAATTGTGCTATTCTTGCATATAATTAATGGAAATCTAACCATTGCATTTTGAATTATTTATTTTTTGTTTTGTTTAAGAGACTAAAGGTCTTATGTTTTTCCAACACGATTGATTTTTAGACTATTAGATTTATTTAAACAATTTCAGAGAGAGATTCAAAACGAAGCAAAAAAAGAGAACGTCTAAGCAATTTGAACTGTTATGGCGGATCACATAAAGGTATATGATTATAAGCATTTAGAATACTTAAATAATTATATAATACATAAACAAATTATGAAATATATTGAGTGGTTTATTTATGGTAGAACGATAAAAATGTATTCTTATGTTTCATTTGAGCCAATCTGGTATTCAATGTTGCAAAATAACATCTATATAGTCTGTGTATGGTAAATWCACATWACTAAAAATTTATGATAACTTTAAGCAAAATTGAATTTAAATTTTAATTAAACTAATCAATTTAGTATTTGTACAAAACAATATACATGTCTACATATGTATTTCAAATTTTATCATTGGATAGAACTTTAATTAAAAATTATGATTTTTGGTTGGCTTTTAATGGCTGATAATAAATGTAATTAAATCTAGAGAAATTATAAGCTGTAATAATGTTTTTAAGTCATTGTCTTTCCCATTTCTGTATTTTAAACAGACTGTACATATAGTTGTCCATTAATATTTAGCATGAGAATTATATACTGTTGCATGATACATCCATATGCGACCCATTACTAGCCAACTTAACAGTTAATTGTTCATTTATGTTGAAATAATCTTTGAACTTTTAGTTTCTTTATGTTGCATGTTGATAAGTGATAACTTTTTATGTAAAAACTCAATGTAAAATAATTAATTGAACTAATACAATTTTATTATTTCATTATTGTTCTCATATAATTATGAATATAATAACATAATACCTATAAGCCTTTTTCATTGCATTATCAAT